AAAGTAAAAAAATATATTTTACTATTATTTATAACGTTTTACAATGTTTCTTGTACTGATTCTTATACTAAATCATAATTCTTACATCGCTGATTTTGAATAAAGATTATAAATAGTCACCTCTGCACTCATTGCTAAGTAGTTGCGAGATAATCTCCTAAAATCCGCCAACATTGCACAACAGTCACGCGAGCATTGGTCACTCTTCACGGTGAGTTATTTGCGTTAGCCTGATAAGGGAGTAAAGAAAAATGCACTCAGTTCGCTTCTTGTTGACACATTGAATGTGAGCGAAACGTGTTTGTGTTGTTCGACCACTATTCTGCAGTAGCAACTGTTTTATATTTATAAATTGTAGAAGAGCCACCAACATTGAAAAATCAAAGGTAATGAGGATAGCACCAAGAGCAGAACCATTGAACGTTGTAGTTGGAAACCAACAGCTGGAGAATGTGGAGCACTTCATGTACTTGGGAAGCATAATCACGACGGATGCTCTATGCACCAAGGAAGTAAAAGCAAGGATAGCCATGGCCAAGGCAGCTTTCATCAAGAAGAGGATACTTCTCACTAGCAAGTTGGGCTTGGAGATGAAGAAGAAACTAGTGAAGTGTTACGTATGGAGTGTCGCGCTGTATGGAGCAGAGACTTGGACACTCAGGAAGAAGGAACCGAAATACCTGGAGAGTTTTGAAATGTGGTGTTGGAGAAGAATAGAGAAGATCAGGTGGACGGATCGAGTGACCAACGAAGAAGTATTGAGGAGAGTCAACGAGCAAAGATTACACGAAGGAAAGCTAACTGGCTGGGACATATTATGAGAAGGAATGGGTTACTGAGTGATATCATCGAAGGCCAGGTTGAAGGAAAGCGAGGACTGGGAAGAAGACTGATACAGCTAACCAACGATCTGAAACAAGGAAAGAAGATGACGTTGCAGGAATTAAAACGAGAAGCTAGGAATAGGGAAAACTGGAGAGCTTTTTTTGGGCAGAGCAATGGACCTGTTGTCAGACAGAACACTGAATAATAATAAAAGAAGAGCCACCATGTCTGGTAAGAGAAGTGAATGTGTTGCTAAAAAGTTGCGTAGGTATATTGCGTTAGACGATAAGATGGACGTAATTCGTAGAATAGAAGGTGGTGATACCCGTCATAATGTGTGCAGAAGGTTGAAGTTGCCTCCTTCCACTGTGTCTACCATAATGAAAAATTCATATAAAATAAAACAGTCAATGCAACAGGCTACGAGAGTAAGTGAAACACAAGTGAGTTATAGCAGAAGTAAACTTGTAGAAAGAATGGAGAAATTACTGTTCCTATGGGTGGATGACATGAATCGAAAAAACATTCCCTTGGCTGAAATTGCTATCACAGATAAGGCATAGTCAATTTTTGAGGCACTTAAGTCGTCAATGTTTGGGTGCCGGGAACGCATGTCATTGACTTCCCATTGATTTACATTATAAAAAGAGTTTCAATTTACGCCGGTTCATCCAGGAACGCATCCCCGGCGTAAATCGAGGTTTACTTGTATAAGGAAATTACGAATGACTGGAATTAAGAAGCCATTTGTACACTTTCATTATTTCTGGTCTGGGACTTCAAAAATTTCAGGTGCTTGGTTTTAGTTGCACAGAATGTACAATTTACATGTGTGTGTGCATTCTGTGCAGTAATGCATAACAGGACTGTTTCTGTGTGTCCATTTACATGTTCTATCTCCAGTTCTGCTGTTTGAGATTAAAGCACTCTGAGGAATATTTATACCGAACAATATTTAAGGAAGACATTATGTAACAAGGAACTCCTTGTGTTGTATTTGTCACAAAATGTTTTTCAGGTGTTTAAAACAAGGATGTTAAGGTGTGGCTGGCTTATGATACGGATGGGAGAAATAAATAAAGCACATATAATCTTAGTTGGAAAAAAGTCTTAGATGGAAACTAATAGAGTAAGTCTTACAGAAGTTAGTTATAATGTCAGTTGGATCAAACTGAGCCAGGTTAACGGCTGGTAATTATGAGTTTTAAACCAACAAGGAACACCTCAGTACCTCTTGCCTAGCTAAAAAAAATCCAGATGTACCAAGGACTTGGTGGGTTGGGGGTGGAGATAATGTGAAACATTTTATTTTTATTTTTGATATATGAAGTCAGTGTCATCCAACATGCCATGACCCCACATTAGTTTTTGACTAATATTGTTTCCATTCTTGGGAGGGCTAGATTGCAGATATTTTAGGTACTTGGCTGTTGTCATCTTCAACTGAAGTTACTGACCAGTTGTGTGCTGCCAATATTCATAGTTCAATATATCAGGTGTAACCAAGTTCAGATGGTGCGACCTTGGCAAGGCTATCTGATCTGATTGTCTCACTAGATCCCTTCAGAACAATTGAGATAATTGATCCTGCTAAGAAATTGACATTCCAGTCAACTTCTCTGTTGGTCACAGATTAATCACAGGGGACATGGTGGCCTCAGGTTAACTCACTGGACTGTTGTTTAGAATGTTCTGGGTTCAGTCTTAAGTCAAACCTGTGTTCAGGTTTTTTTTCCCCCTCACAGGTTTAAGTGTTCACTTCTGCTAAAGATAAACTTTCAGCATGTGAAAAATTTGAGGCCCCCATCACTGTTCAGAGTCCACTTTAAGTGGTAGGTCCCCTCTGCTGACCACCATTCTTTTACCACCCTGTCATTGCTACCACCTCTTAAGTTGCTCTGGACTTTTACCGTGGTAGGTAGAAGTCAGGAAGTTCATATTATACCATACCTGGTGGAATTAGATATAATCATGAAAAGGAAGATTCATTATACAGAAGAGAGTACTGCAACCACCTTGTGACTGGAACTCACAACCAGGCTACTGTTTAGTGATTGTGCCTTGAAGATGGGGACAGCTGGGTTCTCAAAATATCAGCAGATTAGTCCCCCTGAAACATGGTGCCATCATCCAGGAATGAAAATAAGTTTAATATATCAGTCATTTCAGAATGTTTGTTTCATCTGTCATTGAAGGTACATTCTGTTTGGTCACTTATTTGTCTTGTGTGCCTTTAAATGCCTTTTGCTATGGAGACAGTGCAGAGTGGTGATTGGCATATCATTAAAACAGTTTCTTGAATATTGTGTAAGGATTGACACTTGTCCCAAACACAAAAATGAATGCATATGACAATGGAATGAATTTTACGTTCCATTGTATCATTTTATTGGTAGTTGGTGTGAAATTTGATCTTGTGCTTTGTAAGAACGTAAAGTATTGAAGTAAATATTTGGATACTAGAAGTGAAGCAAGCAGTTTAGGATTTTTTTATAATGAGTAACTTCAAACATTATACCACCAGTACAAAAGAACACAAATTTATTGGAAATGAATGGGACACTTTGGCTTATGGGCTTTGCTGATGATGTTAATTTATTGGGTGAATACACAAATATCATAGAGAAAAACACATAAGTTCTATTATGTGCTGGTAGGAAGCAGGTGTAGTAAGAAGTGTAAAGAAAATTGTATGTTCATGTCTCATCATCAGAATGCAGGACAAAATTGTTATATGACAGTAGCTCTAAGAATGTGGCAAAGTTTGAGTGTTTGGAATGACTGTAATAAATCAGGATGGAAGAAATTGAGAGGAGATTAAATTCAGGGAATGCTTGCTCCATTGCAGTTCAGGATCTTTTATCTTCGTGTTATCTAAAACATAAAGATTAAAATATGCACAAATCATAATTTTACTGGGTGCTGTATATTCAAGAGTAGCTTTACTGTAGCACTTAATTTGAATTGAATTTAATTTCTTTAAGTCCTTTGACTCAGTTTTATAAAACTTGGTATACTGTACTGCCTTTATTGTATCAGTATTATTACGTATGAATTTAATTCACTTACATTCTTTTAAGACTCATATTATTTTGGGAACTGAATTTGTTTTTTGACATATCTTATTAAATATTTATCTGCTAGAACAAAGCCTTGTGTAGAAATTAAAGGGATCCACAAAACAAATGTGTAGAATTTGCATGAAACTCAAGTTATTTTAACAAAATCACAAATGTAATAGCATTACATGTGCAGAGTTAAAATCATCACAACCTCATACTTTGGCCCTTATATCTAGTTGATTTCTACTTGATTTATAATGCAGTCTGTAAACCTAGACATCAGATAAACATTGTGTTTAAATGGAACTCCTGGGGTCCCGGGTTCGATTCCCGGCGATGCCCGGATTTATAACTTGTGTTGGGCAAGGCCGTGGTCCAGGTATCACAGAGTTTTCCTCCGGGGCTTCCCCAGTTTCTCCGTGGCATCCCAACAATTACTCCATCTTCATCAACATTTGATACTAAGCACACAGAAGAAGGCAATGGCAAACCACTTCTGGATCATTTGCCTAGGAAACATATGAACAGGTCCCTATCAGAGGGATCTTGTTCATAATGTCACCAGGGGTCGGCTCCGACCTGATGGTACAAAAAAAAATTAAATGGAACTCACCTTTTTAATGTCATGCCCAGTGGTGCATTTGCACATTCTTATTTTAAAATTCTTGTCATCCTTATGTTCCAGCTGTTTGTCTGTTGTGTTCTTTTTAGAAGCTAAGAATTAGTCATACAAATAAATGGCTTAAACATATAGGTATGTGCCATATAATTTAGTATTTGGTAGGTGCTCAACCTTGCCTTTTTTTTTCTTTTCTTACTTCGTATTATGTTATATAATAATATTTTTTTTCAGTTTAAAATAAATTGTAGTTTTATGGACATATTTCTACACATCTTATTAGGATGAATTATGTTATGCAGAATGAATACTTAGGATTTAGAAAGTGTTTCAACATTATGTTCATATCAGGGAGGCACCATATATGCTCGTTTTGTAGTACTTATTGACACACTATTAATGCTACTGGGGGAAAAAAAAATAATACTTAGGGAGAAATGTCATGTATTTAAAATTCTAAATTTTTAACTGATTGATTGTTTTCCCTGTTGTAGGATCCAGTGCATCTGGGTTAAGTAGTCCAGGTTGGTCTAGTTTTCCATTTTCAAAATAATTTTGTGCACTAAATTTCACTATTTTTAATTATATTTTACGTTTTGTTTCATATAACTCTTGTTTGGGATTTCTTTTTGGAATTTGCTTGCTAACATTTTACTCTTCTAATTCAGCACTAATTCGTCTTACACAGTATTTGCTTCTGTTCTGTGGCCTTTTTTTTGTCTGTGTGTCTTTTTGATTTGCTTCTTTTTTTAATGCTATGTATCAGGTGAATGTTTTAACAGATTTTTAATTACAGTGCAATTGTTAATATTGCTTTCCAGAAGTAATCTAAATGAGTAGAGGTATGGCACATGCATTTTCAGTCTTATAGTCTTGTGTTTTTACTGAATGTCATGGCATTTATAGTATCAGATGATTTGATATTATGATAGTGTATATTTGTAATCTTGCTGCTTTTTTTTGCTGTACATATCTGCACTTTTAATTGAAAATTCCAGTTAAAAAAGGTTCATTGCATCTTATTAATACTTCATTATGCAGCCAACCGTACTGTTGCCTTTGTGGGTATGATGCATACCCCAGTCAATTAAAGTTCAGTTTGATACTGTGCTGCACTCTGACATATATATTTGTGTGAATGCCTCCTGCACGCGCGCACACACACACACACACACACACACACACATATAGAGTTTATTTTCCAGCTGGCGCACAAAAATCTTAGGCAGCCATTTTTATTGACAGGCTCTGTTTCAGGTTTTCTAATTATCTTTAGTTAATATTAATGCAGACAACTCTTGGTTTATGAACATTTGCTGTAAAAAACATCACAATTCATTCAAAATTTCTTAAAATTGCCAATAGATAGAGTTCCTTATACAACGTATAGTGAACATAATTGTAGGATTTAAATAATTAAACTTTTAAAAATGTATTTATTACCAGAAAATTATTATATGATAATTATACTGAACTGTTCTTGGTTAATAAAACTAATCTAGCCAGTAAAAGAATGTTGGTTTACATGCAACACCGCGTGGCGTACGTTACATATCGTATACGATAAACCATAATTCATACGTACATACATTATAATAAAACGTATTGTATAGACCAGTCGATGTCTAGTACATGGTTTTAATGCTTTAAAATGGTTGCTAACATATACGATATGTATCGTAAAAGCTCAGGAATGCAAGATACACATAACGAACAAAAACGTATAATGAACGTCATCTTGGAATGGAACTCGTTTGTAAACCTAGAGTTGCCTATGTATTGTTAGTAAATTTCCACATATTTCTCATATGTTAATTGTAGAGTGGCCAAGTGAACAAAAGTAGAAATGATTTAATATTTTTTGTGGAAATAAAATAAATATATTATGGCATTTTAAAATAACATTGTCATTTATGTTTTAATGTATTGTTATTGATTGTTTAATCGGTAGCTGTAACTTTAAAATATAGGATTTCATATAATAATTCATACCACTCTGCACACTGTGATTCTACAAATTTTTGAATGCCACAGAGTAATATTTACATAAAACAGCCACATTGTGTTTTTGACTGTATCACAGGAGAATGAAAGGAGGAAATAAACAGAACCTAAAAAGTGTTTTAAAAATTAAGTACAAAACTACTTGTGCCAAAGTGACATATATTATTTTACTTATTGTATAAATTATTTTACACCAATCATTATACATTCCTTCAGCTTATAACTAAGGGTATGTGATCAACTTTTAAGTATTTTAAAACCATATTTATAGCATGAACAGTGCATTTGCCATATCAGTATCTGAATCATTTTTAACAATGATGAAATCTGATATGAGAAATTCTACCAAAATATGTTATGATTTCTAATACACTCTCCTTGATCTTGTGTCAATTTTTACATGTGATGGGGTAATTTGTGGAAATGGTTAGTCCTACTAGTGTTGGTAGCGTGGCTTGGAATGGAGCAAGGCAAGTTCACAAGGATGTTGTCATCAGCTTAAACATACTCAGCTGATATGGTATTTCTTCTAGGAAGCTACAACTTGTTCCCTAAGACTATACACCATTTATTTCTAAGACTAGGTACTACATAAATTTTACATTATTGTTGAACATTTAATTCCTAACTCAGGCTAGTTCACTTTACATTCTACAACAATTTGGTTATGTAAATTTTGAAAGATTTACTAAAGTACCCTTACTAGACTTGGAATCATCGCCTCAGCGCTTGCCTGCAATCAGTAGCCCGATCCATGTCCCGTTGCCTACAGCTTCAGTGACCTCTTTACTTCTTCAAAGTTTCGGCAGTTCTGACTGTGATCTGTCTCCCACTTCCCTCCTAAACATTTTCCGCTCGCCTTTCCAATTTTTATGCTGAATGCTTTATGGCTACATCCGCATTTCCATTAATTGGTTTTTCCTTCCCCCTTAGAGAAAGGTGAGCTAGCCGTTGCTATTTTCCACAATGCCAGGAAATGACATTTACACATTCCTACATTTTAGCACAATTCAAATATCTGCTACACTTAATGCTATGCAACTTAAAATCTCTACATTCCTAATTTTATAATGTCTTAACTAAAATTAATTTGCTACATACATTTACCTTGTTGTACTCAAAGAAGATGTATCAGAGATTACTTCTATGGCTCTCCAGTCCGTATTCGGTCCATGGCCTCCTCAATTCTCCTCTTCTATTCGGTCCTCTGTTAGGTCCGTCTGTCTGAGGCTTTGATTGAAGTTTCGAAACATCTTCCTTTTTACGGTGCAAGGTTGTTAGCCTTGCGACCAACCCCCAACCTGGAGGACCAGGGTACCTGTCTTAGTCTGACCTCTCCCCCTCGACCAATCTGGCTAAGGAGGTCCTACCAGTAGCTATGCTACCACCAGCATAGCTCTTGGGGTCACTGAGGTACTCTAGCCCCACCACCTCGACAAGGTGCAGGTACCATTAAGTGGGGATGTATTAGAGAAAGTTTATTGATAATAAGGCACTAAAAACAGAATCTGGTTCTGAAGGAAAAATTCTTAGCTGCAGATTAAGGTCAGAAGTATGACTGATTCATTAAATTGCTAAATAGTGACATCTATTCAAACATCAGTTTCTGCAGATTAAATTAAAAATAATAGACATGAAGGTAACTGGTCAGTATTGTATATATTTATCGGATAAAACAATTTTGTCATAGCCTTTTAAGTGATGGGCTTTTCCTTTTTTAAAACTTCAAGAAATTTCATTTTATTCCTTGTGATTCTTAGAGATGCTGTGTGCATGTATTTTTTCAATCTTGTTCGCAAGTAACTATGCAGAGTGTAATAGAACAATGCAAAGGTCACTGATCATATTCCATATCAAGTGGAATGAGGATGAATTTGTTTGTATAGGATGTAACTTTAAGGTCTGGCACAAATGTAAGGATGAGTTATGCCAAATCTATGAATAGAGTTTACATGAACATATGC